TGTTTGCTTTGGTTCGAATACTTCAGTATCACACGAGGAAGCAGGGCAGATCGCTATTGGATTAGAGAAAAGCGGGCAAAAGTTCATATGGATACTGAAGGATGGAGATCAAGGAGATATCTTCAAGGGAGAAGTTAGGAGAGTTCAGTTGCCCGGAGGATTCGAAGAAAGAACTGAAGGAAGAGGAATAATTGTGAGGGATTGGGCACCCCAACTGGAGATTCTTGGACATTCATCAACAGGTGGATTCATGAGTCACTGCGGATGGAACTCGTGTATGGAAAGCATTAGCATGGGAGTGCCCGTGGCAGCATGGCCTATGCATTCTGACCAGCCCAGAAACGCAATAATACTGGAAAAGGTGCTGAAGATTGGTCTATCAGTAAGGGACTGGTCTCGGCGGGACGAACTTGTGACATCCATGGCTGTTGAAAATGCTGTGAGAAGATTGATGGATTCAGCTGAAGGAGAAGAGATGAGGCAAAGGGCAAAAGAATTGAGCAAAGCAGTAAAGGATTCTGTTATGGAAGGCGGTACTAGTCGCTTGGAGATGGATTCTTTCATTGCTCATATTCGTAGGTAGATTTTCTGTTCATCCAAACAAAATAATTATGTTCTTTAATCAGGAGAAATTCTGATTAATAAGGACTGTAACTTCTTGAGTTAGATTAAGTGCAATGATATCTTAATTAGACTGCAGAAGATCAGCTTTCTAACAGTATTTCCATTAATTAAACACTTGGCTCTCCTGTTGCGATAGTTCTTGTGCTATGTTTATGTTTATTGGCTAGTAGTTCTTGCTTGTTCAAAATTTTTGCACATCTCGATTTTGATCTCTAATTGTAAAGTAGAGACAAACACAAAACATCAGTTCTTGGCTCATTCAATTGTCTTTTTAGACAATAATATTAAATTGTCTTTTTCCTTAAAGATAATTGAACCTCATTCATTCATCCAGCAAAATCCAATTCATCCAAGAAATGTTACGTCATTGAAGAAGAATAGTCAAGAGTGCACATGATTCCTGGTCATTCGTGTATGTGCCAGTTAACCACTGGGCCATTGGCTCAGTGGCCACCACCTAATTGGTGGGGGAGGCAAGGGATCCCACCAAAAATGTCACATTTAAGTGGCTTGTTTCCAAAAAAAATCCAGGCAGGTGTGCTGTGCACCCATCTAGTCCGGTGGTGGTTCAGTCCCCTCCGGATTATTCCTGGACTTCCTTAGATCCGCCCCCTTCCCTTATTATAGGATAAATTAGGTTTATCGTCTCCAGAAAAAAAAAAAAAAAAAGTGTATGTGCCAGTTGTACGTAACAAACATAAAAATTTGCTTCTCTGAATAATTTTGCTTTTTCAATATTTAATCACTTAAGATTTTTGTACTGGTTCCCAAGTCCCAATTGTATATCATATGCTAAATTTGTGGCATGGGATTGAATGACGCAGCAATTGTGATGTCGTGCCGTTCTGTACTATTATAGTGCTCGTTCCATCATTTGATTTACAAATACATTATTAATTTATTATATTGTTTGTACTCGTAAAAAAAAAAAGTAATCTTCATTATTAAAATAATTCACACACATATATATATGCCTATCTACCTCGTATATATATAAGAAAAGATGAAAGTTTAGTGCTTTCCTTTTCTTTTGCCAAGTGGCTTCTTAATTATTTGACAAGTGACAAGGTCAAATATTTCTTGCAAGTTGTCTGAAGCCTTCTCTTAATATTTCTTTCAAATTGTCCAAAGCCTTCTCTTTCTTTTGGCATTGAACTGTTTATTTCTCATTAGTGCTTTCCTTTTTCTTTTGTCATGTGGAAAAGTCAAATATTCCTTCCAAATTGTCTGAAACATGTTCTTTCTTTTGGCATTGAATAGTTTCTTTCTCAAATTGCCGTTGAAGCCAGACGGCTATTCTGAGCCAAAATTTGGCGCGCCTATTCTGAGCAAATCCAATTCCAAACGGCTATTCTACCAAACCCAATTCGAAACGCCTATTCTAGCCAAAAAGTTGGGATTTTTACATGATTTGGGAGATGGGTTTTGTGAGTCCCTTCTTCAAGCCAGTAGGTCAACTGCTACTCCTGCAGACACTTGATTTCATGTTGTAGAGATTGCTGGTCACTCACATGGTGTTTGTACTTCAAAGGAGGAAAGTTAGGAGCAGGTGAACTGCTCTTGTCTACACTTGCCGTGGTTTCTTCTTTCTCTAATATCAAATTAACCCATTTCATGTTGCAAGAATTGATTTCATGTTAACCCATTTCTCTTTCTATTGATTTCATGTTGCAAGAATTGTTGGACACTCACATGATAATTGTATTTCAAATGAGCGAAATTGGGAACTTTTTGTTAGATTAGGTATGACATTCTATTCTCATTAGCTTTGCTATTCACTTTTCTGCTCAAATCATGATTTCTTTTCAATTCTCATCAGCTGTACGATTATGATGAGAAATATCTTTTCAGATGTGATTTTTTCCTTATTCCAATTATGATAAGAAATAGGTTTCCTATTCATTTAGCCTGTAACCTTTCCAGTGAATTACGAAATCAAAAAATGGAATAGAGGTATTTATCAGTGCATGGTGCTGGCTCCTCTGTCTTATAAACTGCAAGAAGAAGCATCTTGATCTTTACACTTTCTCTTTGGAGTCTCTTTGTTGAGAAAAAGTCTTTCCCTTTTTTTTGTCAAATTTTCCCCGTATGAGTAATAGACAGATTAATAAATTCTATTATACACATATGCGTCAATTGATAGGTTCCTTCTGCTGCAGTTCATATCATCAGTCAAGGAATCCTTTAACTTGAAGGTCAGCTTGTTGTCTTTCTTGAATCTATGAGCAGCTTTTCTTCATTTTATGTGACTATATTTTCAAAAGTGAAATTTCACCGTTCCCTTTTTTTTTAGTAGTTTTTCCTCAGTTTCTGCTTCATTTATTTTAAGTTTGCTGGTGCTATTTGTTTTGTGTGATCCTTTGTGAAACAAATGGTTGTTTATTTGAGTAGGTGATTGTGTTAATATTTTCTTAATCCAATTGTGCTGCTGCAACCCATTCACCTAAAAAAATAAGCCAAAAATGAAAATACGAATCCAGCTCCTAGTTCAATAATCCTTATTTTGAAATTTGGTGAATTCTTGAATATATATATATATATATATATTATTAGTGGAATACCTACAAAAAAGAGAGATCCATTTGCTGATGTGATTCTGGCCAATTGAGCTATCCTACTGGTTTATATATAATCAATGTACTATCAAACAGTCAAATTGCTACATACACTAGAAAAAAAAATTGTAGTAATGGACATCAATAACAGATTTTGTGAGCCAAAGTCATTAGCACAATATATTTTGTGAGACAAACTTTTGCTTGTGCTGATTTTGGGGTTGTGGCTGCTATGCTAAAGTTATTATTACATGACAAGTTCCTTTTTAACTAATTTCAACCTCCTGCTACTGGTGCTTTTCTCTTTAATCACAATGGACAATTTGGTAACACATAAAAATAAGAAGTTATACAGAACCTAAGATAGTTTTTCTTAGAATGAATTATAGTAATAATATCTCAGATGAGATATGTGACCTGTTGTTGTTCTAAATGAGAAATAGGAGTGATTAACTATTTTTCAGAGAACTTTAAAGTCAATGCAGAAAGGCTGTTATCGGCAAAACTTTTAGTATCTAAGTGACTATTGATTAAGCAACTTAGTGTGTGCCTTGTTTGATGTTTCGTTTAGTCTAGACTTGTCTAGGGCATGAAAAGTTTTTAGAGAAAACCCCATCTTTCTCTAACCTTTATTGTACCTGCTCAAGTTTAAACCATTGATCAACCTAGAGATCATTGATAGATTTGATGCTTCCTTTAAGCTTTTTTCACAAGTAATCATGATCATTTATTTGGTTTAAGAAGGATAAGAAAAAAAAAACAATTGGTGTTTTGCTCTTGTTGCTTCACTTTCCCCACGTGGTATGGTTAATTTTTTTGCTATCTTTTTTTGTTCATCTTTCACCTGATAAAAAACAATAAATTACCTTTTCTCTCTTGCTTATTTATATTGATTTATTAATATTTTTTAAAATTTTGAACTTTTCCCCATTATCTGCATTGAATTTTATTCTTTTTTTTCGTTTTAATTGCAAAACTAAAATTTTCATTTAAATTGAAGTTGCCTCTGTTGTAGGCTATTTGTGCTTTGTTCTTGCAAGTCTGCATACGTTGCTACGAGGTTTGTCTAAAAAACTCAAGATCAAATTTAAGCTTTATGCTTTTGATTTGCACTTTTTTTTATGTACTTAGAGTTTTGAAACTGTTATGTTATTGATTAAATTAGAGGCCGCATGTTTTCTGTTGGAAAGTTTTAGCTTTTATTAACATTAATAACCATTAAGAAACATAAAATATGTTCTTCTCCCTAAAATCTGATAGTAAGTTTTGTTTATTGTATGTGCTTGAGTTCTTGGTTATTATCTTGGTATCTATACATGACATGTTTGGCTCGAGTTAAAACTGACTATGTGTATGCACTTTTAGTTGCTATTGTATTAGTTAATCATTAGTCAGACCTCTGTGCTATGCTATTGAATGCGAAAAAGAAAGACAAGCCAACACTCAAATTCAATAAATGGTCTCTTTGACGAAGTTAGTAGTAGTCAAATGTTATTAAAACAGACAAAGAGCTCATATATATATTGGCATATTATATAGACCTACTCATATATATCAGCAGAGCGTATAGGAGCAAAATATACAATAAGAACTTCTACTTCCAAACAAATAGCTAATATTTTAGGATACACTTGATAATTATTTATACTTTAAAACAAAAAATTGCAGGAGCTTAACTTTTCTGCTGAACTAGCATCTGCAATCGGAAAACATTCGATTGTGTGTTTTATCCGCTACTATGAGGCAGATTATCAAGGCTAGAAGGAAGGCAAGTATAATATTGTCAAGGCATACACTACTGAGGAATCAGCTCACATTCCAATGGCAATCACGGCTGCAGAAACGAATGAAAAAATTCCAGACCTTCATGCTACTGTGCTGCAGTCTGCTAACAAAAATGAATTTTTCAGTCCATCAACCAAAAAACTACTTGATACCATCGCTGAAACTTCTGCTACAGCAAACAAAGTGCAGCCTCCAGTGACCACAGCAAAGAGAGCCTTGGTTTTTGGAACTATACCTCCTAAAATTGGATCAAATTCTGCTAAAGCTATTACACCTGCCTCACTGCCCACCAATGCACTCTTAGCTTTCGCTCCAACTAATCTTGCACCAAGAAGTCCCTTGAAGAAGCAGCATGATAATGAACTCTAAACTTGCTTGAAGCCTTTTGAATTGCTAATCTTGCTAATCTTAAAGCACTTTATAGCTGAATTGCTAATCTTGCATCTTTTGACACAATATTGACATCCATTAAGAAATTGTTCTTTTGTGCAACTTAATGGATCTCAATATTTGATTTTTGGTAATTGCAGCTTATCATTGCACTTTATATTAAGTATTCAGCATGTCTTCTCCCGTCTCTGTAAGACTAACTTACACTTGAAGATATCAAGCTATTTGTAAAACTACTTGCCAATCTTTTGTCATCTTCTCTTATCTTTTGCAATGTTGATGGTTTTCTAATTTTGTTTAGTCTTATATTGTTAGCCACATGTTTGATTGGTAATTTATGATTTTAAGAATGTTATTTCACAAACATTACTGTTAATCTTATCTTATACAAAAATATATGACAACAAATTATAAGCACAGCCGAAAACCTCCTAGTTATATAAGAAGAAAGTGGAGTTATTGTAGCAATTTCAATGGTTGCCAAGTGACTCTCCCTTCATTTTGACACATGGCACATTCCTTTTCTTTTCTTCCTTTTGCTTCCTTTTGTTTCACCTTATTTCCTTTCTCTTATTTTGCTAAGGACAACTAAACAAACTCTTATCAACACTGCAAATTCCTTATTTAGTTTTCACTCTGTATTGCTCTTCTTTTCTTCCCTTCATCCAAATCGTTTACTCTACTTTTTTCTCAATTGGATTAGTTGATGCATTTTCTTTCAATTTTATCCATAATTAACTAAATGAATGGTTTAGTTGGAGGAGATCAAGATTGGGTTTGATATTTCCTTTCTTTCTTAGTCCAATAATCATGATTCATGATCTTCTACTTTTACCGTCTCTGTTTGTATATACTATTTATTATTTTTTGTCATTTTTTTGTGTCCTGATCAGAAACCTTTGCTTATTCCTTTTCTTACCACTTCCTCCTTTTATCTGACTTTCTTTTGCGCCCTAAAAAAGGCAAGTTGAAGTTTGTATGTGATGCTATAAATACTTTTCCCCTTAAATCTAAAGAAATGTGTTTTTTCATTTTTTTTAATTTTTATTTATTCTGTGTCCTTTTTTTTTTGGAAAAAAATTCCTTGTGGCTGACAAGAAGACGGGTATTGATTACATGAAAAATCTTTAGGCTAAATGAAAGAATTGTAACTACTTCCCCCCTTAAAATAATAAACTCCATTATACATATTCATTTTAATTTTAATTTTTTATTTATTAAAATTGTTATTTGATAATAGGGTGATAGTGCTAGAGCGGAGGAGAAAGAATATGACAAATGAAGATCCAAGGAAAGAATGATTAGGAAGGAAATGTTGAGGCCTGTTGAATTAAAAATTAATTAGAGTCTCTTAATTTATGGATAGATAATTATATTTTGATATTTTGATTTATATAAAGTTTCTTAATAGTGAAAAATGCTTATTTACTAGATAAGGTTATTGATATGTAAAATAATTGTTGGGGCCAAAAATTAAGGATGTGAAGAAAATATTTCGTATCTTTTCATTCAACATTTTGAATTACTAGCCTGTATTCATGATAGGTAGTTTATTTTCATGATTTTAATTTTCGCAAATAAGAATAAAAAAAGTGTAAAATTAGATTTCAGAATCTTTTGTTTAAATTGGATCTATATGACTTTGTACTCTTATCCTTTTTCATTGTCCCTAATGATAGATAATGTAATTAGAGTTTGAGTTGATTGTTAGGTGTAGAACTGGACATTCGTTATTATTTGAGTGAAGGAGTTGGTAATACATGCAGGTTTATAGAGCGTCCATACCTTGATCTTCTTACAAAAGCCACAAGCAATGGGCTGTTGGTCCCTTCAATCCAGTTGAGATCAATGAGCAGAAAAACACAGAACAGAGACAATATTGCCTGGAGTGGCTTGACAAACAAGGCTCAAACTCGGTCATTTTTGTTTGCTTTGGTTCGAATACTTCAGTATCACACGAGGAAGCCACGCAGATCGCGATTGGATTAGAGAAAAGTGGGCAAAAATTCATATGGATACTGAAGGATGGAGATAAAGGAGATATCTTCAAGGGAGAAGTTAGCAGAGTTCAGTTGCTTGGAGGATTCGACAAAAGAACTGAAGGAAGAGGAATAATTGTGAGGGATTGGGCACCCCAACTGGAGATTCTTGGACATTCATCAACAGGTGGATTCATGAGTCACTGCGCAAGGTACGCTCACTGTTTGGACAATTACTCCCAACTGTTTACTTCCCGTGAATCTCACTCACAGGAAAACTAACTTGACCGTCGGAGTGTCCTCGGGGACGATTTCGGGGCTCCCCTATTAGACCATTCTCTTGTTCGCTTTGCAGGTTGGGGAAACGCTCTTCTTATCAGCACGCCGAGCTCATCAGGTCAGCTCGGTCCGGGGAAGTTCCGTGCTTCTTCAGTTGACGCCGTCTGTGGGAACCGAAGGTACGAGTGGTTGTGCTGATAGCGAGAACGCGTTCAAAGTGAACTATGGAGAACACCGATCCCGAAGCCGGCGAGGGGTCCCGGCGAATGGAGACCGAGGCGGCTCGGGGCTACGGGGGCTCCGCCCTTTCAGGGGAGCGGAGACAGCAGATCTTTCAGTTCGTAACGGAGAACCTTCCCATGCTCGAAGACATAATTCGGCAAGCAAAGGAGAGGGGTGAAGCTAGGGCGCACAAACCTCCAAGGCGAAGGGGAAGGAGAGGGAATCGCCTCCCGTTCCCTCGGAGGATGAGTCGTGGGACCAGCCCCCCAAGAGTAAACGGCCACGGACTCCCCCTCGGCCGCGGGCTCGGTGGTCGGGGACAGCGAGAGATATTCTCGCGACTGGTCCGCGGGGGGCCGACCAAGGAATCTCTCCTCGTGGAAGCTTGCGCGGAACGAGCCTGAGCGTTCCCCCGCCCGATCTATCAAGAGCCGGCCGCGGGACCCTCCCCAGTGGCAGCCTGTCCGGCACAAGTTTGAGCAGATCCTGCGGCCGCAACTGTACGAGGACAACTACACAGTCTCGCCCTTTACCCGAGAAATAGAGGACTACCCGTTACCTCGGAAATTTAAAATCCCGAACATCGAACTGTACGACAGTTCGACCGACCCGGAAGACCACCTCTCGGTCTTCCTGACACACATGCGTCTGCAGACCGCTGCGGATGCAGTCCGCTGCAAGACCTTCCCCATGTTCCTGAAGGGGAAGGCCCGGCTCTGGTTCCAGGGCCTGGCATCGGGGTCCATCCGGAGTTTCACCGAGCTGGCCAGACAATTCGCCGCCCAATTCGTCTCCTCGAAGACTTACTCCAAAAACGCAACTCATCTGATGGCAATCCGGCAGAAGCCGGATGAGTCCCTGAGAAATTTCATGACCCGCTTCAACACGGAGAGCTTGCAGATTAGGGACAAGGATGAAAGGGTGGTCATGACCGCCTTCATGAACGGGTTCAGGGTGGAACAGCTCTTCTACAAGCTTGTCGAGAAGCCTCCCGGAGACCTGGAAGAGCTCCTGACTAGGGCGCACGCAACCGCTAATGCGGAGGAGGCTGCTCGCCTAAAGAGAGAGTCAGATCAAGAGATCGGAGAGAAAGGATAAACCCCCCCCGAGAACAAGGACGGCCCGGCCAAGAAGAATGTTTTCGACCGGCTCTCAAAGGATAAAGTTCCCGCTCAACCGCCGCTTCCAGAAAAAGACTACACCCCCCCTAACTCGGCCCAGAGCCCAGGTTCTGGCCGTTCTGGAGGCGAATGGCCTAGTGGAGCGGCCACCAAAGATGGGGATACCCCAGAATAAGAGAAACCATGACCGGTACTGTGCCTTCCACCGTGATGTGGGGCACGATACGGAGGGGTGATGGGCCCTGCGAAAGGAGATCGAAAATCTGATCCAGCGCGACTTCCTGGGGCAATTCGTGCGGCAAGGTCGGCCAGGACAGGAGGCAGGGCGCGCCTACCGCGGAGACACAGGCGAGGGCCGGCAGCTCGTTCCCGACCTGAGAAAAATCCTGAATATTCTATTGAAAAGTCGGATGCGGCTGAACCCGAAGAAATGTACTTTCGGGGTCAGGTCGGGAAAGTTCCTGGGCTACCTGGTCTCCAGAGAGGGAATTCGGGCCAACCCGGATAAGTTCCATGCTATCATGGACATGGCCCCCCCGAGGAGCGTCAAGGAGGTCCAACGGCTCACGGGGAGGATGGCCGCCCTGAATAGATTCCTCTCGCGCTCCGCGGTAAGGGGGCTACCCTTCTTTCGAATCCTGAAAGCACCAAAGGACTTTCAATGGACGGAGGAATGCCAGAAAGCCTTCACCGATCTAAAAGCGTACCTGACCGAGCTGCCTGCTCTGACTGCCCCAGAGCAGGGAAATACCCTGTTCCTGTACTTGTCTGCTTGCAACGAGACCGTTAGTGCGGTCTTGGTGCGGGAGGACAGGGGGGCTCAAAGGCCAATATACTACGTTAGCCGAGCTTTACAAGGGCTGGAGACGCGGTACACGCCGGCGGAAAAATTGGTCCTCGCTTTGGTGCACGCCGCCAGGAAGCTCCGACCTTACTCTAGGCCCACAGCATTACTGTCCTGACGGATCAACCCTTATGGCAGATACTCATAAAACCCGAGATCTCGGGCAGAATAATCAAATGGACCGTCGAACTGGCCGAGCACGACATCGGCTATCAGCCTCGCACCGCTATCAAAGCTCAGGCCCTGACAGACTTCCTCACCGAGGGAGCCAGTTTGTCCATGACTGAGCCGAGCTATACGCCTGAGGAGGCGCAGCCGGAGGAGCCGTGGGTACTATTTGTAGACGGGACCTCAAGTAAGGAAGGGAGCGGAGCCGGCCTGCTGCTCACCTCTCCTACCTGGGAGGAGCTGACCTACGCGCTCAGGTTTGACTTCCCGGCATCCAACATTGAGGCTGAGTACGAGGCCCTATTGACAGGATAGCGGATAGCCCACCAAATGGGTATAACCGCGATCAGGGTCCGGAGTGACTCCCAACTAATAATCTGCCAGGTCCGCGGGGAGTACGAGGCTAAGGAGGATGTCATGAAAAAATACATGACTAAGGTGCAGGAGGCGATGAAACTGTTCGACATTTTCGAGATTGAGCGGGTGCCGAGGTCACAGAACAAACGGGCGGACGCCCTGTCGAAACTGGCGTCCTCCTCGTTTGCCCACCTGGGCAAGGAAGTTTTGGTGGAGGTAGTCAAGCAAAAAAGCATTGACCAGATCCAGGTCTTGGCCATAGACAGTTCGGCCACTTGGATGACTCCTCTTGTGGACTTCCTCAACTCGGGTGTCCTCCCCAAAAATAAAATCGAGCCTCGCCGACTCCAGCTCCGAACTGCTAAGTACGCCTACGCTTGGGGGACCCTCTACAGGAGGTCGTATTTGTCTCCCTGGCTAAAGTGCGTAACTCCTGCGGAGGGCGACTATGTCCTCCGAGAAGTACACGAAGGCCTGTGCGTTGCACATGTGGGGTCCCGAGTGTTGGCCAAAAAATGCTTGCTCCTAGGCTACTACTGGCCCTCGATATTCCGAGATGCTGCGGCCCTTGTTCAGACATGCCGAACTTGCCAGGTGCACGCCCCGCTGCACCACCAGCCCACTCGGGAGATGGTCCCCATCTACAGTCCTTGGCCCTTTGTCCAGTGGGGAATAGACCTCTTGTGTCCCTTTCTCCGAACTCCCGGAAGGTACGAACACCTCGTGGTGGCCATCGACTACTTCACAAAATGGATGGAGGCCGAACCTCTGGCCACTATCTCCGGAAGGGCAATTCAGAAGTTCTTCTGGAAGAACATAGTCTGCCGCTTCGGGATCCCGCATGTCTTGATATCCGACAACGGGCGACAGTTTGCTGAAAATTCCTTCAAAAGCTGGTGCGTCGAGCTCGGGATCAGCCAACACTTCACCTCGGTCGGACACCCCCAGGCCAATGGTCAGGTGGAGAATGTTAACCGAACCATTCTGCAAGGGCTGAAGACTAGGTTGGAACTAGCCCAGTCTAACTGGGTAGATGAACTCCCTAGCGTCCTCTGGACTTACCGTACTACGCCGAGGACGGCCACTCATGAGACCCCGTTTTTCCTGATTTATGGGGCGGAGGCGGTGGTGCCCGCGGAGGTCGGTCTCCCCTCGCCTCGAACACAAAACTTCGTTGCAACAGCCAACGAAGAAGAGTTGAGGTGCAATTTGGACCTGCTGGAGGCAAAGCGCGAGGAAGCAGCGATACGGATGGCTAAGTATAAAAGCCAGCTCGCTCGCTACCACAACGCGAAGGTGAGGAATACGCAATACTAGCCTGGAGACCTCGTCTTGATAAAGAACTCAGTCAGCCGAGCTCATAGCTCCAACAAACTTGATCCAAATTGGGAGAGTCCATACAAAGTCCTGGAAGCGAGCCGAGCTGGTTACTGCAAGCTTGCAAGATTAGATGGAGTTGAGGTACCCCGCACATGGCACTTCTCGAACTTGCGATTGTATGTAGGATAGACTGGGTTAGGGTATCTTATTGTATTCTCTGGAATTTTCGTACCAGTTCATCATTAAATAAATGCTCAGTTTGCAAGTTTTAAATCCGTTCTCATTATCAATGCCGTTTAACTTTTCGCTTCTACACTAGCACACTCAGATACTGCTAAGTGTCCTAGTGGGGGTTCTAAGGGGTGATGAATGGTAACGGATGGAATGCCTTTCAAGTCTGGGAGATCGACGCTCGACCCTTCAAAAGAAATCGACGCTCGACCCAGGAGGTCGGCATGACTATCTTTAAAATTTTGAGACGCTCGGCCAAGGAGGTCGGCATTCAAACTCTTGACGCTCGACCCAGGAGGCCGGCGGCTAGGGGACAAAATAAAATAAGGAATCAACGGAAGGCCTTTAAAGTTTGATAATTGATGCTCGACCCAGGAGGACGGCAGGGCTTAAAGCTTTAAAGTCTGATGCTCGACCCAGGAGGCCGACACGCGGCCTTGGTGGATTTATTTGGTGCTCGACCCGGGAGGTCGGTGTGCCCTTTTCGGTTATTAGAATTAGGCGCTAGCAAGGACTGAAGGTCAAAAGCAGACAGTTTCATTCAAATATTGTTTCATATATGCATTTAGACCCTATCTATTACAAAGCCTACCGAACTATAAAAGGAAAGAGAAACCTAGCTACGTCTTCTTCTTGCTGGCGACCTGCTTGAGGCGGAAGCTGATAGTACACCTTAAGCATGTTGAGAGGGCGACCTGTTGGAAGCGGGAGCTGAAGGTACACCTTAAGCATGTTGAGAGGCGTATGGTGAAGGCCATTCAAAAAGATATCCGAGCTGCGGGGCAGGGCCATATCCTTATAAGAGAATGGAAAGAGTTTCTGGAGTGGCCGCTATCCTAAGCCACTGGCTCCTTCCCGGAAGCCCTGCCGGGAGCCTTTTCCTCCTCCAGGGGGATCTCCGCCAGCTCGGCCCCCACGTCGCTCATGTCCACCAG